TCCTGCTGATCCTTACGAACATGGTTCTCCACAAACTTATCTTGCCTTCCGGGGCGCTCTGGAAAACTGGATGAACCATGTGATCCCAATTGTGGTCTCTGAGGTTCTGAATTTCGAGCACGTGGACCAACAGGACTCCGCCTAGGGGACCTGGATCTGCTCCTGTGAGAAACAGATGAACCCCTATGCTCGCCTTCCTCCTTAACCCTGTGAACAGCATCTACACCTTTCCTCAAGATTAATCTATCCTTGCCACTAACTATTACAAACTTCTCATCCATTTTTATCTTGCAACCGGTGTCCCTCTCAATCTTTTCCATGACTTTCTCAGAGAACAATGCCCGCACGTGTTTGTCCCTAGCAGGTATCCTCTCAAAGAAATCTTGAGATTTTCTGTTTGCACCAAGAGTTGATGGGCAACCCTATACAAGGCAAACGGTGCAATATTAACAAAACAGGCCAGAACCCAAAACTAAGAATATTTCATTCGGAAAGGCATAGAAGTCTATGGATAAAGTGATCCAAAATCGTGAAATACCTGAGTAAAATGACCTGATTCCCCACATATTTTACAGATAAACTCTTCTTCCTTCCTCTTCTTCCAATTCCTCTCAGTTGCTTTTGATTTAGCTTCCCAAACCTTCGCCTCTCGGCTGGTGAAATCAGTCGGTACAGCATTGGGGTCAGGCAGTTGCTCTTCCTCATCAGGACCACCAAGAGACCTTTTGTGGGATTTTTCCTTATCTTGAGCATTGTTGTTTGCACTACCAGGTGGACCTGTATACTCCTTGTAAATTTCACTGAAGTCATCATCAAGATCTGGGTCTGATCTAGCGCTTCCCATCTGAAAGACTTAAACAAAGAACAAAACTTCAGCGTCAAAACCCAGGAAAGACTGGAGAGGCACTTCAGAAGTTGATCAGAAGTTCTTTCAATCCAAAGAGCAGAAGAAATTCTGCCCACATAACGAGTTCAATGAACTTGCAAGGCAAATTTTCACTAAAATCCCATTACATTACAGCAATTATACATACGATTTAATGAGATTGTGAAGCTAGAAGAAACGCGCATTTCGAAGAAGAACATGATCCATATATGACAGAAAACACTAACTCAAGCGAAAAGCGTTTCATAACAACGGGAAAGTTTCACCTTTCCCGGGAGGGGGGGGAGGAGGAATAATTTCCCGCTAGGAATAAATTGAAGGAGTGCATCAGCGAAATCGCTAATTGAGACGATTTAACAGCCCAACACAAACAAAGAGCAATCTAACCAAAGCGAATTAGAAGAATAAGCAGGAAATACAGCCACCTGGAGTTAGGGTTTATCGACTGGTGAAGCAATGGCGTCGCAAAGAGAAAAGCAGACGATGGACGAGAAAATCCACAAGGGTTGGGTTCTCCCACAGCTTCCCAAATCAAGAATTTTGATTTTCCCTTCGACACCTTGATGTCTTAAAAATTCCAACTAAACGCTGTCGTTCTGAACATATACGACCGTTTCCTCTTGATTTGACGGTTGACTAAACTTTCCGATACGCCGTCGTTTCACTAAAATCGAATCTTATAAAACTCGTATCGGTTAATGCCGACGTCAAAATCTTAGGGTCGGCTCTCTCTCTCTCTCTCCCGCCGTCGCGGTCGCCGGAAAAGCTTCTCCGGTGTGAAAAACTCGAAGCCTGAAACGAATCCGATTCGAATTTGTGTTAGGGTTCGATGGACAGAGAGTTGCGAACACCGTGCCCTAGCTCCGTACTATCACAACAACTACAACCACAACCATCATCGCCAGTCGCCACCATGTCTACGCCGCCGGATTCCGCCACCGCGTCCAAAACGTCGACACAGAGCAATATGTTTCAACCAGCAGTATAACGATCACTGTTCCGGTCACCAAATGTGATTGGTGATCCCAACGGCTTTTACGGCAGAGGGTATGGTCCCCAAGGCGGCGTTTGGAAGAGACGGTCAGAGTTCGCTACCAAAGTTTCTCTAGGTTTTGTCAATGTGACTGTCTGTCTGTTTTCTGACCCTTTTTAAGATTACGCATCCTCTGTTTCATCTTGACATAACTTCCAGATTGTATAGTTGAGATTGGAGATATCTGGTGGTGCCCTGAAATGTCGCTTGAGTTCACATCAGGGCATTTCAGGTGTAAAGTAACGCACTTTACCGTCAAAAAACTGATTTTTTGTTTTGGGGTGTCGGTAGAATTGTGAAAATGTATCAACACTTTCTCGGAATTGTCTGTGCACTGCAGCTGTTGTAACTTGTGTCTATGTCTTGGTTGATTATTTTCATCAGGTTCCCAAGTTGTTTAGTAGAGATAATGGAAATGTTACTGAAATCATTCTGGCCAGAGAGAAGAGAATCGGTAAACTACTTTAAGTGTGGAATCTGTCTTCGGGTTAAAGGCTATATTGTCTAGTTTTGGGCAACACTCTTCTTGGTGTAACCTAATGTTTTGTCAAGTAGAAAACATTAGTAGAGAGTGATAGGGCAATGGCAACAGAGTGTCGGACCAGAGCCAGCCGATTGATGCTCATCTTTCACTACCGAGTAGTAATCGGCCTGATGCCCGTCATTCCCAAGAGAGAATTGGAGAATACCGAAACAAATGCTCATCTCTCGCAACAGAGTTTCTGGATCTGGAGCTGACCAAACTAACAGGCCTCAGGTATCAGAAGTTGATCTACTCATATTTGAGTTTTCGCTATTCTGCTTCATTTGTTTAGATCAATGGCGGCAACGGTTGAAAGCAGCAGGCCAGTGGTCTGAAAGGAGATCGGACGGAATTTACCGCCCGATTGGGGCTGCATTCCCAAACAACCCGACTCGTAGACAGCGCCTCGTGGTGCGACAGGGTCCGAGCACAACGGGGGGGCATGGTTGCATTGACCCCTGATAGTATGACACGTGTCCATCGGCTTGTGGGTCCCACAACCACCGTCTACGTGGCTCATCCCGGGTCCAACGGCCGAGGTCGGAAGAAGCACGGAGCTACAACATCTTTTGAGGGAAGTTGATTTCCAGGTTCGATTTTTTGTTTTGGTTAAATTTTATATGATTTAGAGTTCCAGATCAAAGGTAGAACAAACATTATGGACACTTCCCTTGGTGTTTATGAGACATTTCACCAAAGACCTTCCGGTCGGTCCTACGGCGATTGTGTTTAGTGATCAATGCTCAAGGACCTTAATCAATTACGAGTTCATATTCAAACTCTTGTTTCCTCCACAACTCTGGTTCTAAGCCTCAAAACTCTGATTGGTTAACTTGCTCAAACCCATCAGAAAGTGCTCTTCTTTTTTTGTTGGAATGTCACTCACTCACTCCCCCTAAAGGCTTTCCTAAAGGTTTTCAAAAGGCCAAGAAATTCACAAGACAAAAAGGCATTTTTACCTCATGGGACAGTTTTCTGCTTCCCTGTCCTATTGTATCTTTTCTGCTCCCACATTCACATGATTGGATTGCATGGTAACTTTATTTCTTCCCTTTTTTCCCCACCTTTCTTGTCGCCAATATATTCTTCTATCCATTTTACCTTTTGTTTAATCTCTTTCTTGGCTTTTTACCCTCTTGGCTGGCGAGTGAAACCTATGCTGGTAGGGAAGTGAAAACAGATTCCAAAATGTTTTCGGTTCGATTTGGCACGTGTCATTTTTTGGCTGGTCGATGATCCTAAACTTTCTTATCGGATTTGAATGATTGAAAAGATCGTATCTTCGGACAATGGTTGAAAACTAGATCCACAGACAGGATAGACCCATGTGACATCATCTCAAGTTCATCAGTTCTCTGTCACTTCTGCTGCGTGTGCAGGAAATATGTTTTTCTTTTCCAGTTCCATTCGTTCATTTTTGTCTCTCTTTTTTCTTCTATAAACCAAAACGTGAAGGGCGAAACCATTGTCTGAATATACGATCTTTAATTTGTATCTAAATTCTTACCTTTTTCCCCAGATTATGGAACAGTTAAAAAAATAACAAGCGGTTAAAAAAAAATTAGTGCATGCAATTAGGTCGACAAGCTATAAAGTAGTTGAAATTATGCTTCCAATTTCGCAATCCCCTATGAACATAAATATCTCAATTACATCAACTTTTCCTTCAACTATCGTCCCCGTCTCTTTCTCTTTCCCCGTTAATCATAATTTAATTTCCACGGATCCCCAGATCCAAAAAAAGAAAAGAGAGATATCATTAATGGTTTCACCACTAAGGGGAAATGGAAGCCCTAGAAACATTGCTCGGAATCTTGCTTGATTGTCGTGCTTTCTCAGTGAAACCACTGTACGTTCCCTCTGACAACGCCAAGAACTCTGACAATGGAGTCACCGAATTCCTTTCTTGTCGTCTTCCGCCTCCCCGCATTCCAAACACCATTTTCAAGAAAGATCGCAAGTCAAGAGCTTTATTCATCTTTGCAAGAACAATAACGAGATTAGAATTAATCCATTGTCTTGTATATAAACTAAAAGCAAATTAAGTGATTTCTCCGTACCAGTACAGTATCTGCTTTTACACCGATCTACATATGAAGAAGACGACCCTCCTGGTGCTTGTAACAATTACAAATAACCTAATACCCACTCCAAAATCACGACGTTATATATATGTATGTATATATGCCACACTAGTTATCCTTAAACATAAGAGACGGGACGACATCTTCAAGAAGGCCATGGTCCTTCACCGTTAAACCTGCTGCAGCCCCACCCGGGTTGCTACAAAGCTGAGTCTTCTTCAGTATATGATCATAGCCGTTGAGGTACTCACCGCCATAAGAAGACAAGTGTTGCTGTTGGTAATGAACGAATTGCTGAGATTGAGGTGAAAGTGTGGAACTTTCTGCAGAAAGGCCGGAGCTTCCGCCGCCGGCGGCGGAGCTGATAAAGTTTCCGGCGGCTCGGGTACAGAAAGGCGGACGATACATTAGAGGACTAGGGTGTGTGTGTTGACCCTCGTATGTCGTCACCACGATGCTTGGATCAGTGAATGATCTCTCCACCCTCTTCTTCACGTTGCAAGTCGCCGTGGTGCAACGGTAGTAACTCCTGAGAAAAGAAAACCAGTCTCGGACCGTTTTAATTAGGGTAACGTAGTGCAGCCTGAGAAAGGAAGTTTCTTGCTTTCTTATATTGAATTACCGAGGAAAAGGGCTGTTTTTCACAGCTTTTTGGCCGTACTTTCTCCATCTGTAACCATCTTCGAGATGATCAACCTCGCTCTTTGTCATGAACGCCACTCTCGGCTCTCTCTGTTTCTTCTGATTCGTCTTTGGTTTCGACCTGCTTCCATGAAACCCAAAGACAGAAAAACACCGATGATCTTCTGCTTCAAAATGTTCCTTTTTTTTTTCCTTCCCTCGTTAGAAGTACACAACCATCTACTCTCTGAGTAGTTGACTGTGAAAGAAAATCTGAGAAAACAGGAATTAGAAACGGAAACTCACTGCTTCTTCGTAGCACTCTTCTGCTCCTGCTCCTCTTCTTCTTCTGCTTCGTATACCCCTTTCACTTGCTCCTCGTTTACAGCCTCGCTTGAAACCGACGAGATCGACGACGAGTTAGGCGTCGCCGGCGGATTCACCGCCGCTTCCGAGCACAAATATTCCACTTTTAAGGCCGCGCGTGACGACGGCACTGCGATGGGAGAATACACTTCGGCCGCGGCCTGAGGGGACACCGTCTCGAACAGGGAAGAAGGGTTGAGATCCTGACGCAGACCCAGCAACTCCATGAACCCTAGCGAGTTCCTCTCCGCTAAATCACCGAAATCCCACACGCTCTGTAACGGATAAAAGCTCTGCTGAGCAAAATCGGCAAACGACGATGGTCCAACACCGATATTCTCCATATTCTTCGCTCTCCTCTCAGCAAATCGATCAGACCCAGATGAGAAAACGCCTCGAAACAGAGATCGGGAAGACACCGATCAGAAATATACAACGAGAAAACCTTCAAAAACACAGAGAGCGAGTGAGAGAGCAAATGTTCATAGAGAGAGGGACGGAGGCAAAAAGGGCTAGGGTAGGAGAGTGAAATTTGGCGAGAGAGGGGAGGTAATAAGGTGGATTCTCTCGGGAGGAAAAAAAAATAGCAGAAAAATATGACCGGCAATTGTAGGTGGACACTAGAGTACGGACAGTCACAGTACCGGTGACCGACCAAGTTGCACGTAGAGTCCAACAAGACGGTAGACGCTTTCATACGTGGGTTTCTTTTACCGGTCCAGCGCTTAACCGGTTTCTTTCCCTCGTGTGAACGCGGGTTTCTCCACGTGTATATGAACCTTACGGCCACGACAAAATAATAAATCCAAACGATCGTATTTTATTTTGTGAGCGAGAAAAAAAAAAGTGCCTCGGTCGGTGTCTGTCTGGTTCGAGTGCATGGGAATATCTTTGTACGAACACAAAATATCATGGTTCCTCTTTTTTCCCATACGGCGTGACATCAATGGAAAATAAATTTATATTGTCTCACCAAAAAAAAAAAAATCTTTTGAGAACTTGGATAATGTCAAGTATACATGATTCTGTTGCAGAATGTATATTTTATAAGGAATTAATTATATATATGCGTGCAAACGAAATTCATATATTTTGTGTAATGTTTAACGAAATTGAGATTTTGATATTTGTTAATAATAACGGCCTCTAATATAAAGACTACACAATTTCTGCACGTTTTTTTATATTAAAAAAAAGCAGATTAAGTGAATGTATCCCTTAAAAGCAGATCTATCTCTATGTTTTAGACAATGACTTATATAAAAATATGATTGTTTTGGTTACAAGTGATCTATCCATACATCTATATAGCAATAGTATACCTTTTCAAATTCGGTATAGATTTAAACTCAATTTGTGTAATGAACTAATCAACATGTTTTACATTATCTAACGGTGGCTGAGAGGTGACAAAAATCATCTTCAAAGTTCTGGTTTCGATTCCAATGGTGGGGAGGGATGTAATTTATGGACTAAAATGGTCCATATACAAAGGGTCGTCTCGGGTCTAGGATGGATGTATAGTCGGATCGAAGGCCCGAGAAACCATCCTGGCTATTAAAAAAAAACATGTTTTACATTAAAGAAGAATCTTGTTTATAACATTATACATAGCAATTGCCGACGCGGAATGTTATAAAACTGGATGGGTTTTATAGTGTATTAATAATAAATCTAAAAAACGAGATCAAAATTATAAAAGCCTGTGGACCCAAAGCAAATCCCAAATAAAAGGGCCGTATATTATATTATTATATATAACCAATTCCTGCATGCTTCACGAATTTTTCTCTTCTATAGACAGCGTTGATCCCGATGTGGAAAACACTAAAAAGGGTCAAGAAAGAAAGTTTTGAATTTATCCTTTTGTTCTTTTATAGGCTTCCCTTTTAATTTAAAAAAAACAAATACTATATATATATATATATGTATGTATGTGTCTATATTTATGTATTACGTGTATATATATATATTAAAATCATTGTACTTATATACAGATTCTATGAATTCGTTTTAATTTAATTTAGGATAATCCAAACGAATTATGCTTTATTAATGGGATGGTAGATGTTCTGATTTAAATTAAAATAATATTATGAAAATAACAACACTGTATATTTAGAATGAAAAATAACAATTCATATAAAATTTGAGAATTTTAAAGTCTGTATAGAAATCGGGTGACATTACATAAATTTTAATTTTTTCGATTTTTATTGTAACAGACGTTATTTGTGGTGAAGGATATGAAAAAGTTCATGCACGTGTGGTGTACTATTCGAAAACATGGAAGCCCACACGCTCGTATAGTTTTGCTTGTAAACTTGGCTCTTCCCTTTGCATGCCTCGTTGCATTTTTATTCTTATTTATCTATGCATTACCTTGCCATTATTTCATTTTATACATATATTTTCTGTAAATAATTATATATTACATACAAAAAAAAGGAAATTAAGATAATCCATTTTGGTTATGAATATTGACACAATGATTAATCAACACACTATTACTATTACAACAACTATTACAATGACCTCTTGATACATTAATCAAGTGGACATCAATATTCGATCAAACCTAATTAATTAATTCTCATAAATAAGATCCACACCCGTTTTCTGTTAATAAACTATATTATTTAACATTACCGACACTCCTAACAGTAGCGTGGTCGTGATTAAAGATGTATATCCTTTTACCAAAAAAAAAAAAGATGTATATCGAAATATAATATATATATATATATATATATATATATATATATGTATTATGCAGCGAGTGGTACGTGTACATTGACCGGCATCACTAATAATCGAATTTTATTTTATTTTTTGGACAGCACGGTGTTCAATAATCACGACATAAATAAACTTTAATGCGAAGTCAACAGTGGCATTTACGATTAATCAACTTGACTCTTACCATAATAGTACGTACCATAATTAATAACATGTAAATCTTTTATAAAATTATTGTAATGTAACTATAATTAATTGTACAGTATATGTGCAGAAGGCCGCCAAGCCGAACGGCTTCGTGTCCGCGTAACGAGTGCAGGCATCAAAGCGGGCATGGTTGCATTGACCCCTGATAGTATGACACGTGTCCATCGGCTTTTGGGTGCCACAACCACCGTCTACGTGGCTCATCCCGGGTCCAACGGCCCACGTTCCGTGCTCTTCTCGTCACTCGGCGAGCCACGTTCCTCCGTGCCGTTGATTGGGATTCGAATTAATACTGCGGTGCTGGATAAACGTGTTTTTTCTGTGTGTTTTGGTCTAAGGGATAGACGTTGTTTTTTTTTTTGTAAAATATATAATTTAAAGTCTGAATATTTCACTAAAATTATATATATTTAAAGTATTGATCTATATTCTTAGACGTTCTAACCGATGTGTTAATGTATTTTATAATTGTTGGATGTTAATAAATCAGTAAATCAAATCATTAGGTTCATTACGTTAAAAAATTATGGAGGAAAATAAAATGTTACTTTGGTAATGTTGAACTTCTAGAAGGGATGACGATGCATGAATTAAAGAGATACTTCGCGTTCACGCTCGTTCCTTCTTTTGGATGTTTGTGTCTCGTGAATATAACACAAATTAAAACCCATTTAATTAAATCTGTTACAAAATATCATACAATAATCGCGTCTTTTTTTTTTTTTCAAAATCTTTATATCGTATCTTAAACATTGACCCACTCAAAGATTTCACCGTAAATGAAAGAAATTTGTTGGGAAATGCACGTGGGTAGGTCAAAGTAAACGCACTCGTGTCTTATTTTATGGTTTAATCGCCCATTGACATAAATTACGGTCGGGAGGTGGACAGTCGTTAACTCGCATGAAAAACAAATAGTAAATTAAATCATGAGTGGGTATAGATTGGTTTAGAACTTTTGTTACCATATGTACACATTTTTTCACGTCACGAAATATAGGGATAATCAATGTGAAGATATATCGACAACGTTGACATGTAAATTAATATTGCATCACGAGTAGTTAAAAATAAGAAATACGATGATATAACAAAAAATAATAATTTTAAAAATAAGAAAAATGCATAGGCGTAAGCGAAAGTTTTATATAGACTTAACTATAAAAACTGAATTGAATGGGGAAAAATTCTAACACAAAAGAAAGGGAATTAAAGGTGAAAGGTAATTACTTTGTATTTTATTAATTATATAATACATGAATAAATATAAAAAGTATAAAGGGGGGAAAAGGGAAAATTTGGTCTCCTGAAACATAATAAAAAACTAGGAATTATAAAATTCCAAGTCACCTAAAAAAAAGTGAACAAAGTTAAAAAAAAAAATATGGTGGGAAGATTGGTATATGGAGGTTTACGAAGGCATATCATCACATATTTTCATCAATTTCTATTATCATTGATTAGTGCGAATTTAATCAACATGAAAAAATGGCAGGAATTACTATATATATATATATATATATATATATATATATATATCTTTTTTGGTATCTATTAGGTCGACCTGAATCAAGACTCAGCTCGAGAGTTTTTGGATTAAGTTCGGTCTGCTCGATTTTTTTCGAACTTATATTACCAAATTCGAAACATGGCGCTATAGATCTTGGTTCCAATCGAATAGATCTGCACAATTTTCTTTGTAAATATATTTTTTTTCTTAACATTTATTTTATAAAAAATATCGGACTTTTCGAATATGTCTAAATTGAATCTGAGGATTGAATTGAACCTGGTCCAAAAGTCTAAAAACTTTCGAATCTAAATATTTTGCCCCAAAACCCGCTATTTTTCGAATTGGATCGAGCCAGATTTACTTCGGAGCTCGGACCAAAATTGATATCCTCACTCTATATACTTATTTCTCTCTCTATATATATCTAAATTTATGTGTCTAGGAATAGTCTGTGTAAGTACAGTATTCCACGAAGGTGGGACAAGACGTGTAATGGTCCGCCGGTCCATACATCGGCCCAAATCATTTCCACCTTTCCGCCACCACCACTTTCTGTCGCTCCATCCATACATTATATCGATACAACATTTTTATTTTATGTCTCTTTTTTTTTTTCCTTTAAGAAATAAAAAACACGTGATTGTAAATATGGGAAATATAAGCCATCCGAAGCTGTCGGTCCATTTCATCTCTCCGATTCGCTTCATACCGATGAAAAGGACAGAGGAACATGTTCTGTGTTCCGCATTCGTCGAAAATTCCACAATAACGTCCCAATCTCAATTTTCAAATTCATGATTTACCATTGAAAATGCTCCAAACATCCTTCACAATTCATATATATATATATATATATGATAAGGAAAGGAACAAAGCTCTTTTCCAATCCGTGTTGAGCCCTTAATTAGGGATGAACATTCGCATGGTCTTCTGGGAGATATAATCGGATGAAATGACGGTTGAACTCCCTAATTATAGAAAAAACGTTTCGGTATTTGTCTCTTTCTTAGAATATTTAATACTTAAAACCAATGGATTTCAAGTCGTCCACGAGTTAGTGTTGGATCAGACGTGCAAATAAATAGACAGGCCCAAAGTCCCATTTTACAGTTAGGCCCAATCAAACTTTTAGGCCCAACATTGAACGTTCTTAATTTGCGAAACGACGATAGTTACTGCCGTTTCGTAGCTAGGTCGGAGATTTTCTCTTGTTTTTTCCTTGATCCGGCGAATGCATATCAATTGTTTCCCTTGAAACCATTAGGAATTTCAACAAAATTTGTTTATTTTTTTAACAATATTAATCGATTGGTTAAGTTTTAATGAATTCATCAATATTTGTAACTTTATAACGGGCCATGCAACAAATGTCTGGTTATAATAATTTCTTGTGACTATGCCATTCCACGTTTGAAATTTGGACATGTTATTTCCCTTAAAACGAATATATTTTCGAAACCATGCTGGGTTAAGATATTAATTTCATATTCTCATAATAACAACAATATCATACGCTATAAGTCTCATTTAACTAATCCTACGTAGAATCAAAGCCAAGCTCCTCCTCTACCCGAATGAGAGGGAACCACCACACGAGTGAAAGAAATACCAAAAAAAAAAAAAAAATCAAACAAACACGAATAACAACAAACAACGTAATTTACATAATAAGAACAACAAATAAAAAAAAATATTCAGACAAGTTTAGGTTGTGACAAAACCTGAACCATGTCCTGCATGACCCTCACTTTCATTTGCAATGCCAAAATGTAATCAGCCGTCTCTCTGAAAAGCCCGTCCAAACTCGTCGATTCGCGGCGAGTACTAGTGTTTGGGATTAGCTCTTTCAACGTCTTGACCCGCCTCTCGATCGCCTTCGAGGATCTTCTAGAAGCTTCTGCACGCTTCGGCCTCCTCCTCTTCACTAAAACCCTTCTCGATCTATTCCTCGCAATGATCCGTTGTCTCCTCGTCATCAATACCCACCTCTCCCTTGTCTCCCCTTCCAATGCCACACCCATTTCTTCAAGAATCTAATTACAGAAGAAAGTTGTGTAATAATTCAAAAGCTAAACCTAGAAAGGGTTTTATATATTTTGAAGAAATGGGTTTGGCGATGAAGAAACAGAAGGGTTAGAGGCACTTATATAACTTCGGTTTGGGGAATATTGCAGGTTCTAAGAAGGTGCTCTCAAGACAAAAAAAGGGGATGCATGAGATTAGGACAAGTGGATGTCCACAATCGGGTGTGTGTTTATGTTTATGTTTAGCTTTGGGGACATGTCACCATGTACAACTCAATGCACATGCACTCACATGATTATTCTCACCACCCCAACTCTTCCATCGTCCACCTTTTCTTCGTTTCACATTACTAACTATAAACACCCTGGATTATTCCTACATATTCATTTAAATTTCTTAATTTTATTTATTTATTTTTTGGTTGGGTGGCATTTAATTAGTTCAAAGTTCATGAATGTCGGATAAACGGTGTTTGCTTTATTGGGGGGACGTCCTTAATCCCCCTTGTTTCCAGCTCGATTAAGCCGGCAAGAGTTTATTTAAATAATAATAATAATAATAATAATAATAAGGCGGCTAATTTAATTTAATGTTAATAGACAAAATAGATAGCGATGTTGGGAAGTGGGATAAGGTTGTATATGGACACAGAACATGCGTAATCTTTTCTCTGTTTCTTCGAAATTCGAATGATGGAAATTCGTTACGGGCAGCCTCTTACAGATTTTGTTCTGCGCACCATGTGTCGTCTGCCCTTAAAAGTATACATATACATATATATATGTATATGTATAAATTAGCAGATGTATGCGTGGATCTATATGGATCAGACATTAATTCTTGGCCACATGAATCTTGGCCGTCAATGTTGGGCAAAAACATTGTACCTGGAACTTATCATGAATATTAAGCATATATATGTAGATTGCACGAGAATATAATTAAGTATATAAAAAAGGTTTATTATATAGTGACGAACAACACTGATCTAATCAATCAATGCGACGCACCAATCATATGACCAGATTATATATTTTAGTGGTTTAGGGTTAACGTGAATATTGCCTCGATTTTAATCATAAATACATAGACGGTTAGCGTCAATGTATATGTATATATATATATAAACCCTAGCCATGATGGAGAGTCTAATTTCAGTGCTAATGTCTACCCACGTTGTATTCAATCTCAACGTGCATGCACATGCCCTTTAACGCCCTAATCGTGTAGGCGAGCGGAAATACATGTCAATTTGCATAGAATATATATATATATATATATATATATATATCACTTTTTTTTCCTTTATTTTTTAAAATAAATTTCAGAAACGGGCCTTTTACCCCCCTCTACAGCAGTTGGACCTACGGGCCAAGGCCCATGTATAAAACTCTTCCATAATGGGCCTATATCGGCCCGTATAGTTAACATTATGATGACATCTATGCATTTCCATAATGGGCCTATATCGGCCCGTACAGTTACATTAGGATGACATCTATGCATTTCATAGGGCTCTAATTACATTTTCAATTAATTGGACTTGCTTGTTTTTTTTTGTTTAATGTTTTTTTTTTGTTTTTTTTTATGTAAACATATTCATTAATGACATCAAAATAACCTCCATTATATTACTTACTAAATACGATATATTGACCCTCAATAAAATGGCATCCCTTTTGACCATACTGGTATTTTTAAACATAATTTGGCTTCCATAGCTAGAAAAAATACTACATTTCTAATTTTGGTAAATAAAATAAATTCAACCTTACAGATAATACATTCAAAACATTATAAATAGCCATTATAATACAAGTCGCAAACACATATATGCATACAATATACCATAAAAGGAAGAAAAACGATGCAGTTTCCTAAACCCCAAGTGTTGCATAATGTGATAATGATTGTAACGCTATGGGTATGCGGAAGCATGGCATTAGAATGTCAACTGAACGAGAGTGGGAATCCGATCAAAGTAGCATACACCGTACTCGTCGACCCCAACGGTCCAGGAAATTTCAGGACCGTACAACAAGCCGTCGATTCCATCCCGACTCCTAACTCTAAATGGATCCGAATCCTCATCAGAAGCGGCGTTTACCAGTATTTTATGATTTTTTTATAATATATATATATATATATATAGTAATCAATAATGAGATTTATATTATTATATGATTACAACAAAAATGCAGGGAGAAAGTGGTGATTCCTAAGACCAAACCGTGCATATTTCTACAAGGCGGAGGAATTGACAAGACGGTGATAGAGTATGGGGACCATGAACAGACCGACACAAGCGCCACTTTCTCCGCCTTCTCCGACGACATCATGGCCAAAGACATCACCTTCAAGGTATCCCTATATGATATATACATATATATCAACGTGAGATACACGTGTGTGTATATATATATATATGAATATGAATATGTTTATTAATGTGAAATTTGGTGATTGGGGGCAGAATTTTTTCAATGTACCAAGGTCTGATGAGTTGTTGGAGTCACCGGCATTGGCGGTGAGGCTGTACGGAGACAGATACTCGTTCGTGAATTGCAGCTTCGAAGGGCTTCAGGATACGATATGGGACGTCATGGGTCGGCATTACTACAAAAACTGTCTCATAGCCGGCGGCATCGATTTCATCTGGGGATCCGGCCAATCTCTCTTTGAAGTAATCTCTTTTCCGAATATATCTTTTACCTATATATATATATACATAATTATGTGGCATGACATGTAACATGAAGAAATGAGATGACTATGTAATGGACTGACGGCATGGCAGGGATGTACGCTGAACGTGACGCTGGGATGGTACGCGCCGGAGAGAGATCACGGAGCGATAACGGCGCAGGGAAGGATGACGGAGAGCGACCCGGGCGGGTTCGTGTTCAAAGGCTGCACCGTCACGGGGAAAGGCAAAGTCCTTCTGGGCAGAGCGTACGGACCCTACTCTCGTGTCATCTTCCACCAGTCTCAGCTCTCCGACATTGTTCTTCCCGTTGGTTGGGATTCTTGGTCTTTCAAGGGCTCCGAGTACTCTCTCTCTCTCTCTCTCTCTCTCTCTCTCTCTCTCTACTGTTTCTTGATCTATAACGATGAATGGATACGCAGGAGCAAGATGACGTACATGGAGTCGGAATGCACGGGAGTAGGGGCGAGAAGAGAAGGGAGAGTCCCATGGTTGAAGAGTGCGGCTTCTAATGACGTTGCCAATTTCACCAGCCTTTCCTATATCGACCCCGATGGTTGGCTCTCTCGACGTCCCATCCCCATTTCTCCCTAGTTGTTATTATTTATATTCTCTCTTGAATTGTTTTTTTGTCACCCTAATAATAATAATAATAATAATAATAATAATAATAATAATAATAATAATAATAATAAGAGACGACATCCGATTAAAATATGGTTTTTTTTCCCTTTTACGTTAACTCATACACAAATCTTTTTGAGGCATGATTATTGTGTAGCGAGTCTTCACGAAAATACGCCTCATTCATTATTTTCGGAAAATTATGTAAGTAAGAGCTACCTATTTCATAAATTCATCCTTGCTTGTATTGTAATCTTCATTCATTTAACCGTTATTAATATATATGCAAAAGGTCCAAGCATGCGTATCATATAACTTGCAAATATATCGACGCAATATAAATTTTTTGTTTCTTCAAAATTATGAAGAAAAAAAGAATAGGAAGAATCTTGAACTAGCTAGGTTCATGGGTGTGGGTTGTATTAGTTTCCATGATGTGTTTTCATCATGGATCTATGGCGACGATCAATTGCGAGATGAATCAATGGGACCCTTACAAAGTAGCTTACACCATAGAGGTTGATCGAAAGGGCGACGCATATTTCACGTCGGTCGCCATCGACTCCGTTCCCTTTGGCAACAACCGACGGATTCGGATTTTCATCTTCCATGGAACTCACATGTAACAAACATATCATATATATATATATATATATATATGTTTGTTTCCCTAATCATGCATGCTTTCATAATCTTTATTATATGTACATATTTTGGTTAAGAGCGAATGCAAGAGATTAATATATGATTTCATCAAATAGTCTGACTTATCTCTTGATGATATATGTATATATATATATATATTGACTTCGACACACTGTAGTTTTGCTCTATCTCAATTGGGAATTCTCCTTGACTTCCTTTTACCCGACCGGACATCACCAATTATAAAAAAAAAAAAAAATCTCTTTGAAAAATGATACATGATATCATATATCATCCCCTAAAGGAATCTTATACACAAAAAGAAAACTAACATTTAGAAAGTTGCATGAATCAAACAGTCTCGACATATGTAGCTTTATATATATATATAATCAAGCAGCCGTCGTACATTAAAAGCGGTGTCGTATTGTATTGTATGGATAGGTACGTATTAAATAGGGACAAGGCTACGTACGTGGAGGCGGAGAACAAAGGAGGAGGAGCGAGGAAGAGCTCAACTCCTCCATCTCTCCCTCTTACGTCGACCCTGAAGGTTGGATCTCTCGTTTGCCTATTGGGCCGGGCCTCATATATATATTAGCCCTACCTCTAGGCCCAATTTCACTTGGGCCCATTTTCTTTTTTCCCATTTATGAACCATTCGTTTTATTTCTCCTTTTATTTTATCTCTGTCTTAGTAATTGACACTTTAACTCCTTACTGTATTTACGATATTTTTAAAGAAATCCGAATTCTAAATAACGAAAAGAAAAATTACAGTGCGGAATTAAAGGTAATAATTATTAATATTTCTATCATTGCATATATAACTGAAACTGATTCCCTTACAAGAAGTCGCTTCTGTCGCTGAGACACGAACTTGGATTTGAACGTTCGAATTGAAGAATTTAAAGGTAAAAAAAAAATCTCTGCACAAACTCTTTTTTCTCCAGATTTCAACTTTCTCCCCTTTGTCTCCGGGTCTGATTGTTCGAAGAACTCAAATCGATCCGTGGTTTTGGTCTCCGAATCTATGCGATATTTTCTGATTCGGTTTTCGCTGCATCCTGATTAGATCCGGAAAGGAGATTTCTCGATCTCGTAATCGTTTATCCTCCGACAGGGATTTAACTGATTCGTCGTAATCAATCTTTCTGCCAGTGATTGGATCCGAAGTTTACAGGGAGTAATGGCGAAGATCAAACCTCAAGCTCTGTTGCAGCAAAGCAAGAAGAAGAAGGGACCTGCTCGTATAAGCGTCGCCAACATCGTCATCTCCAGCTTGGTCGTTCTCTTGATCGTCTTCTTCCTCTTCTCCGCCTATCGACGCTGGTCTCAGAGGTTTCCCCAACTTTTTCCTTTCATTTTCCCACTGATCAAACCTCTCGGAATCGTTGGATTTTGTCGCACGGTTCTGTTATTGTTTCGATCTCGAGATGAGATTATGCTGAGGAAATTTTCCCGCTTCTGTCAGGCCTGAGATTCCAGCAGCGCACAACGGTAGGTCAGTTCTTGAGGTATGTGCCGAGTTTAGTTTCCGTGGATCTGCTCCCTGTCATAACGCAGTGTCTTTTGACTCTTGTTTGAGCTTTGATGTATTGTCTTGAGGGCTTTGTTGCACTCTCGATTTGACTCCTGGCTATGTGTTTGTGTCTGCTTACGACAAAACCTTGCAGGAATCCAACAAGGATGATCTTCCTCGATATGCAGTAAGTTCCGTTTATCTTGGTCGATTTTTCCGCTACAGACAGCATTCTGTTTATTCCACTGGGGAGTGATGTGTTGAAATGTCGATCTCTGTTTCTTTCACGACCACTAGACATTGGATACTGGTAAAGGCTCGGTGACTGTTGAATTGTTCAGGGACGGGTCTCCCGATGTCGTGGATGAGTTCATGAGATTATGGTAAGCATTTGATTTCACCACTTTATCCAAACACGTCATTGACCATTCACAACTCCTGAGTGCCTTTTTTTTTTTGTTGGGTTTGGTTTGTGGCAGTCAAGATGGGTACTTCAAGGGAATGTTGTTTCACCGTGTCATAAAGCGTTACGTGATTCAAGTAGGCGACTCGGGCGAGGAAGATACCGCCAGTGATTGGACTTCTCTAGGAGGAGGAAAGAAGAGTCATCACAATCTTGATTCCAGGTCGGTATCGGTACTGTCTACTTTGTGGTGATTGTAGCAGCAGCTGTCACTTGCCTTCTTTGACATGGGAGTTTTTTCAATTGCTGTTTACCAGTGTGAAGCACGAAGGCTTCTTGCTTGGGACCCCTATAGTGAAAAACGAGCGAGGTGGATTTGAGATTTTCATCACAACAGCGGCGATTCCCGACATGAAGGAGAAACTGATTGTCTTTGGGCGAGTTGCCAAAGGCCAAGATGTTATTCAGGTACGTGAATTTTAAGCTCTCCCCTGTGATATAGGCGTGGGCGTAAACATTTGGTAACAGCTTCTTGGAGTTACCGAACACTGTCGTAACTGATTTTGGGTTTTTTTGCTTTTGCTATTGGAAAAGGAAATCGAGGAGGTCGAGACAGATGAACACTATCGGCCTAAGTCGCCAGTTGAGATCATGGACGTCACTTTGCATCAGCAGATATAAAACACAAACCTCATACGCTATCTTTTCATCTACTTTCTTCGTATTTGTGGTATCCTCTCCCTTTTTGTAGCCTCAATTGTTCGTACCTGAGATTTTTTTAGTTCAAACTTGCGAACTAAATCGTGTTTTGTCCACGAACTTTGGTCGGAATCCAAAAAACACAACGCGCTGTTGGGAGCACTGGTTCTTTGGTAAGAAAGATGATTTCTTTCGAAGTATACATAATCGTGAGAGCTGCCTGAGAACTCATGAGGAAATAAAAGAAGCAATACAACACAAGAGGGATCATTCGGGTGCGTATAAAAACAAGAAAACGCTAGCGAGGATACAGATCATAAATACCGAGAAACATCAACGATCCCAACCCGAGCGTCGCCTCTTCTCTCCAGGTCGATCTTCTGATCTGTTAGGTTTAGGTAGGAGAGCAAACACGTAAGAAGACGAAGAAATTACAAGGAAGGCAACATTGGAAAGAGATTCTTGGGGTGGTCGAGAAACCAAACCTCTCAGAGCTTCTCCGAGTGGAGTTATGCACAGCGGGGTTCTGGGGAGGAGCTTGGCCCTGATAGCTGGTGGTGGTTGTTGACTGAGTTCTTCCTGCTTCTCCACCGATAGTACCACCAGAGACAAACCCCGTTAGGGACGGTCTCCTGTTGGGATATGTCTGGTTTTGCGGAGGATTTGAAGATGCAGCAACAAAACTACTCTTGAATTGCGCCATCACTCCTGTCCTTAGCGAATTCACTGCCCCACTCCTGCTTGACGCAGCCTGTGATGTTGCCGCTGCATTGGAATTGGATTCCGTGTTGTATCCAATTCCCATTCCAAAATCGACTCCACGTACACCTCTACCACCACCCCCACTCCCGCCCCCACCCCGTCCACGACTTTTCTTCCCACCTGGTGATATCAAGAAAGCAAAGATTTCTCACTACACATAACAAGATATGCATTAAAAACATTTAGCAGTTTTCCTTTTTCAAATTCATCTCTTTGGTACTTTCACCACAGATCATATGCTGCAAGAAATAAGAAAACGCATACCTCCTTTTCTCCCATCACGTCTGGATCTGAATCTTCCATCCTATTGATTAGCAAGGTAAATGTCACTTGACAATTGTTGTTCAGGTTATGTAAACCAACACTAAAGCATATGGCACTCAAAAAGACATGGAGCTATTAGGATGATACACTTATCATCGCAAGACAAAAGCATAGTTCAAGGGGGGAAATCAATTATCAATAGAATGATGGATTTGACAGAGTGACACTGAAGGGAAGCTGTTATTACCTTCATGGCAAGATCCATGAGTTCTGGAGGCACGTTCTGACCAGCAGCAATCAAACTGTTTACCAATTCACCGGCAAATCTTGCCTCTTTCTGTGATACGAGTGTGTAGGCAACCCCGTCCTTGTCCCCAGCACGACCTGTTCTACCAATACGATGTACATGCATGTCCATGTCCTTTGCCGTGTCAAAGTTCACCACTGTCTTAAGTGACTTGATGTCAAGACCTCGGGCAGCAACGTCAGTTGCAACTAGCACATGGTATACACCAGACTTGAACTTCTGCAGAATTTCCGTACGCGAAGCCTGGTCTTTGTCACCATGGAGTGCGGCAACTTTGAAACCCTTCTCAGTCAGCTGAGTTTCAATCTCATCCACAGTGGACTTTTTTGAAGCGAAAAGCAGTACATCACCCTCGTCGATCATTCCGGGAAGCTTCTCAAGAAGCCAAGGTAGTTTTTCTGCGTCAGATTGAATTACATGAACAACTTGTGTAATATCCTCATTGGCCATCCCAATCTCACCGACTGTAACTCTAATAGGGTCTGTGAGGATTTCCCTAGCTAGCTTCTCAACTTTCCGAGGCATAGTTGCTGAGAAAAGCAAAGTCTGACGATCTGGACGGATCTGCCCGACAATAGACCTTACTTGTGGCTCAAATCCCAAGTCAAACATCCGATCTGCTTCATCAAGAACCAAATATGTTGCCCTCATCATTGTTAGAGCCTTCATCTTCAGCAAGTCTATCAACCGTCCTGGAGTAGCAACAACTATCTCACATCCTGATTTGAGTTCTTTAAACTGTTCATGTTTAGACACTCCACCATATACAGCAGAGACACGGAGGCCATATGACTTTGAAAATTTCTTTGCTTCCAAGAATATTTGGTGCGCCAATTCTCTGGTTGGGGCACATATGACACCAATCGGGCCTTCGTCTTTCTGAAGCTCAGCCTGATCCATAATATGAACGATCATGGGAAGCACAAATGCAGCGGTCTTACCTGAACCAGTTTTGGCTATACCAATAATATCCCGACCAGAGAGCACAATAGGTAAAGCTTGGCACTGGATAGTGGTAGGCTTTTCATAACCTTGTTTCTTGATAGCATTCATTATTTGCGAGGCAAATCCACAATCTTCAAAGGTCTTGATTGGCCTCGGGACATCGAAACCTGAGACACGAATCCCCAATCTCTGCCGGTATTCAGACACTTCCTGTTCGCTCATTCCTGAATCAAGAGGAATATCGGTTACGCCAATCCAAAGGCCCCGAAAAAACTTTTTTTTTCTTACTTCCATAAAGTATCCTATAGATGAAACACCGTAATGCATTAGTTTTATGAAGAGTTCTAGCAAAAAGTGTCATTTTCAGGTTATTTTCAGGCTATATACAGTGCAAAACTTCTGCATACGCTTGGGTCCTAGCAGAAACGATAAGAAACAGTTTTCAATCTTTATTAATCTAGCCTATGAACTATCGTGATATCCAGCAATTTAAGCGGATACTGTGCAATAGAATGAGATAGAAATTTACCAGATATTGATTCCTTCTCCTCGTAGAAATCCTTGTTAAATGGATCGTACTCGATCAAGCTATGATCCAGAGCCTGAATCGGCTCAATCTTCCTCTTCTCCACTACAACGGGATTATCATCGGAATCGTACTCCAGCATCCCCGCATCCACCGCCTTAGCCGCTGCATAGACCTCCTCGTCGGAGTTATACCCCGCGTGGAGCGCGTCCGCGGCCAATGTCAAGCCAACGTCCTTCTTCGCATTCAGGAAACTCTCCATGGGATCGTCATCCTCATCCTCCTTGTACCTCTCGAGCTTCTCCTTCGGCTTAGTCGGAGGCGCGGCCTTCATTTCCTCGTGAATGCCCTCCATGAACGCGTCCAATGGATCGATCTCATCATCCTCACCGCCGTTAGCCTCCGTAGCGCCACCACCTTCAGAGACGTCTTCCTCTGCGTTCTCGTTATCGGCATAATCTATATTCTCTATGTCGGCATCCTCAAAGTCGTCGTGGCCACGAGACGACGGAGGGACGTAGAGACGCTGCGGAGCCTGAGATCGCTCGAAGTTGTAAGTACTTTGCCGGTTTAAGCCGAATCCTTCGAATCCGAATTTACGCTTCGACATCACATAAACTACGATCTCTCTCAGCTCGAGCTCGAGCAAAATCGCAACAGTTGGCAGATTCAGTTACGATGAAACTAGGGTTTCACGTTTCTCTCAGCAGTGAAGAGGTTGAAAAGGGGGAAAAGACGATTGCAATCTCGAGTTATTTTTTCCCGGGTCCGCCGACTTGTCGGGCGGGTCAACCCACAAATATATGGGCCAAACCCGGATTTTAATGAAAAAAATATTGGGCCTTTGACGACGAAATTACGGTCCAATTTTTAGTATCTAAATATACGCCCAAAAATAAATTACCCTTGACGAAACCCAAATGATAAAACTATTATGGACCGTCATTTTTTTTTCCGTCACGGTATTTCTTTTATATATATTTTTTAATGGAAAGTGAGGTAGAAATTCATTTGTTACTTTTTGTTTTATAAATTGTTAATACTAAGACTTTGATATATATATATATA